GCTATCATTTTAAGCCTATATGATGATAGTATATGTGTGTCACAGGGCTGCAGCAGTCACAGGGCTGCAGCAGTCACAGCACTGCCGCAGCAATTATTTTCAGTAGGGGTACATCATGGGCTTTCAAGAGCTCTTGAAAGTCCATGGGTACATGTATACCTTTTATCACCCCTCAATAGACAAAAATACTGTCAACACTGGGTGAAATGAATTCCTGGGAATTTCAGAAATAGTACGCTGTAGGCAATCTGTGCGAGATTCCATTTTTGGTTCGATTTACTCGTGCACTAAATAAGGCAATTTAATTGGTTCAAATATTATGATTTGTGAATTTGATTTATTAGAAATTTGCGGCTATTATTGAAGAAGAATAACAAAAAACTGATTTGGGCTTGGCTAAATCAAACTGCAATTGACTGTGACAGATGTAAATTAGACTAGTTTAGAGTATCCAGGTAGCCTACACAGACAGTAGCAGTGAGTTAGAACTAACAAGCCAATGTTGAAGTTAAATTGAGGATTGCTTTTTTCTAAAATCCTTATTATGACACTGTATGTGTAAAATGTGGAGGTTTTGTAAAAAAAACATGCATCTACAGTTTACTATAAATCTGTATGTTCCATACCCAACTGAGAGATACAGTAATTGCTTGAACCTTGAATATGTTTTTTGCCTAAACTGGCTTTTAGTTCTGTGAAAAAGTGGCACAGGGGTGAATCATTAGTTCCGTGAAAAAGTGGCACAGGGGTGAATCACTAATCAGATTGTTAGTTTATTACCGTTTGTAATAGTTATTGAAACCTATAATTTACACAATCACATGATCATTTTAAAACTATTAAAATAATTTTTCCTACATTTTTCAGTTATGAAGGAAATAGCAAATGGTTGAGTGCTCACTATGACCCAGTTGCTTCCCTCTATACATTCACTCAGTGTATTGCCTTGGTTGACATCTCAGCTGATGGCGATAATAAACTAGTCATTGCTGATCTTGGAACAGGGACATATGACATGAAACTGAAAGTATACAAAGGTAATTTTACTACATTATTAAACTGTGTGAACAAATGTTTTATTCCAACTAATTTTTTCAGATTTTGTCTATTTCACCAATTTTACATAAGACCCTATTTCTGATATTATAGCCATTCTTATCCCATTATGCTATATCTTTTGCTTATATTTTGTGAATGTAGCCTAGCTCTGAGGCAGGTGAGACAGTTGCCTCACCACAATTTTACATATTAAGATATTTTTAGCCATTTGTTGATTTAGTCCATTTGTCATTTTCTTAACGTATGAATATTTAAAAACATGATGTTTTTCTGTGCAAATACTATCATTAGGGTTTATTGGAGTGATTTAGCTGGGTTGCCAAAAAATTAACGTTGGGGAAAATTTTTGTATCTATCACCACGGTAACATACAAGGTACATGGTGGTATCATGACACTAAGTCAATAGTCAACGCCATGTTAAGCCAATGCATGCCTCTCTAATTAGCCGATATACTTTTTTCCCCAAAGTAACTTTTTGTCCAACCCAGTTAAATCACTTCAGAAAACCCTTGTTATTATAAATTAACCATAGCTACCATAAAACATCGTGTTTTTAACAATTCATAGGTTCACTATAGTATGTATAGGGGTGACAAATGGACTAATTGGATGAAGTTTTTTGGCTTCAGTTTACCAGCCCAACCAAGTTAAATTTGCTTCACCTATTTTTGGATCCTGTCTTTGCCCCTGAAAGTACAATATACTTTGTATATATGAAGTGTACTATAGACTTATTTCCTTACAGGCACATCATTGATGACAGAGAACACCATAATAGACCTACCGACAGGAGTTGTCAGCTTCTACATGGATACCAATGAACCAAGGACACCAGGTATTGATTAAAAGCAATAACAGATCATTGCTGAAACGCAAACCATATTTTGATTTAACTCCCTCCTATCATCCGAATGTTCTTAAACATATTAAATTGATTAATTTGATACGTTGTATAAGGAGTCCCCTAATTCAGCAACATTTAGTGCCTCAAGGTTAATGTTTCTTTTTTTTTTTTTTTTTTTTTTTATATAGATATTTATTTCTCCTTTCTAGATAACATATTAACATAACATATTCTACATAGGAATTATCAAATGTATAGAGATTTTCTTGATAGTAGTCTTAAAACTTCAAGCTTAGAAAGTGAAATAATGTTATTCCTCAAAAACTACTGGAATTCCAGATAGATAGAGTTCTCAAAATGTTCACAGTCTTAACTCAACCATTTTTGACAAGAATCATTTGCATCCCTTCATCTGGATCACTACTTGCAAATATGTCCCTATTTAGTCCAATTAACATTTAAATCAATCAATAGTACTTGGCACAATTTGTTATATATGTTCATGTTCCTACATGTATCAGGCCTGTCAACTGTCCCGCACTTTGCGTATTTGTCACGCATTTGCTGAAGAATTTGAAGTCACGCCAGTTATTTTTGCGTGACAGAAAATGTCACGCAAATACGCATTTTACCTGGTAATTGTCAAGCAAAAATATTTCAGTAGAAAAATTTCTAAAAAAGATCGTCTACACAGCAAAAATACGAACGCCGGAAAAAAATGTACGCATTTCGTTCGGACTTTTCACGCGAATTACGTATATGTCACGCATTCCGTTCGAAACTTTTCTTAATATTTACATTGCAGCCTCTATGTTTTCTGTCCATATTGTCTGTTTTAGTTGCGACATGTTTCATCTTAAGTTCTGTTGCACAAGACTGGTGTCTCTTCACTTTAATATCCGTTTGTGTACTTGTGTTTACTTTGTTGATTCTGTCCTGGGGAGTCTGTAATAATGAAGTAAATCCACTGTCTTCTGTATTTGGTGAATTCTCTGTATCAGTGTTATTGTTTACAATTTGACTGTTATCAGTATTGATAAACACATCATCACTATATGTATTTTGACCAGGTTTCACAGGTGTTGACTGTTCATGTAATCCTATTTGTTCATGGTTTGGAACACTACTCACTATTTTTTTATTGGCATTGAAAGCACTAATCCTATTTGTGTCTCTCATTAGCCTACTTGGTGATTTGCTTCTAGTTTCTGAACTTGGGTCACCAAGATGGTGTACTACATATTGCAATGTGATAGATGTTCCATTGTTTGTTGCATTTATCTTATATCCTCCGAGGATGCACCCTTCTTCATGTAGTTCACTGATCAGATGCTCCACTATCTTAGGAATCATTGTATCTCAATATATTTCTTATAATGTTCTTTATTTCACTGATTTTTACTTTCTTTTACGAGCAAATTTTTTCCTGCTTTTCAGTTTACCACTTGAACTCTCTTCTAGGTTAATGTTTCTAATTACATGTACAGTACAGCTGCACCGGTAACTTGACTAAACATAATCCATCACTTCAATGTAAAATGTATTTGAAATTAGAATGCATTTTTTTACAAGTAAACATTTCATTATATTACACAGAACCATTTTATATGTGACAACTGTTTTTGAATATCAATCTCATATTGTTGATATACAACTTTTATAAATTTCAGCGGTAGCTGTAGCATCAGGCCCCTACATCTATGTGTATAAAAATCTCAGGCCATATTTCAAGTTCACCCTCCCAACACTAGAAATCCATCCTTTAGAGGCAGACCTCTGGGCACAAGCTAAAGATGTAAGTTTTCTCTGCTGAATCATTTTCGGTGCAACAAGCTATGTCTTTTTTCTAAAAACCTTCACTGTAGTCCATTATTGATTGTGTCAATAGCCTAATGTAGGAATGAAAATTCACAACATTTAAGGTGTGGCTAGTGCAATAAATTTGAACGTGATGATGCATGAAACTAGTACATATGGCTACATTTAAACACCTTGTGGCCAAATTAACTTAATTTAATTGTTGATTGTTTGATATTTTTACAAATTATTTGTTATTTTCAGGAAAAGATGGATGTGATGGTATTGAGAGAGATGCTGGAGAACCTAAGGTGAATAATGGTCAATAAACTTTTTGAGAATATTCCACCTAAGAAATCTTGAAGGACTAAGACACAGGCTGGTATCAAAATATTTGTCCGCTGTGAAGGAGCATGCTATTATTCATAAAAACACTAAGAATACTTCACGATCTATTTTTTAACTCATATGTTTCGTTATACCATACAAAATTACTTACTCCATGCAATGGATATATCATTTGCGGGTAACTTTCACTTCTGTTTGAAGTCAAATTACGCTGGGAAGAAAAGCAATTGAAAATGGCGCCGGAGTATCATACTTCAAAATGTACCATTTCTTGTTTAACTTTGTAATGGCACGATATAGTGACACGATAATATTTACACATGGTTTCAGCATAACTATGAAGGTATAAATGAGATGTTGATGTATTTGGTCTTTTTAATTCTTTTATAAAAAATAATGTTTAATTTTTTTGTCCGCTGTGACGGAGCAGTTGCAAATGTGAACTGTGAAAATGCTCCGTCACAGCGGACAAAAAATATAAATATTATTTTTTATAAGAAAAATTAAAAAGACCCAATGCATTAATATCTCATTTATACATTCAGAGTTATGCTGAAAACATATGTTAATATTATCGTGTCACTATATCATGCCATTAAAAAGTTAAAAAAGAAATGGTACATTTTAGAGTTTGATACTCTGGCGCCGTTTTCAATAGATTTTACTCCTAGCGTTATTGGACTTCAAACAGAAGTGAAGGTTACGCGCAAATGATATATCCATTGCATGGAGTAAGTAATTATCTTTGATATAACGAAACATATGAGTTAAAAAATAAATGGTGAAGCATTCTTAGTGTTTTTATGAAAAATAGCATGCTCCGTCACAGCGGACAAATCTTTCGATTCCAGCCTGTGTAAGAGCTGTCTATGTTCTTGGTACATGTACTACAGGGCGTCAAATAAGTCTGTTCTCCCCCCTTAACTTTTTTAATTCAGAGATAACATAGGGTTGGTATATATCATCTTAAAGGGAATTTAATTTGCTGATCACACACCAAATTTCAGAGTGATTGGTTAAATTCCAAATTTTTTAGAGTTTTTTTAGTGATGTCCATATTTCACTTTTTAATAGTCTGTATGTCTCCCCCAGCAGCCCGGAGGGCCTCAATTCTACGAGGAATTGATCCTGTATAAATCATTCAGAACGTTTAATTTTAGGTGTTATCAACTATTTTGTGATGAAAGATGCCCCTGCTTCAAAGGCTCCCCTGAATGTAACACATTTTACTCTGTAATGATATTGAGAAACATTGAAATCACCCAATGTTGGCATTGTCACTGCAGTATCAACTTTTCATTTTTCATTCACTATTACCTGGTAATTTTACTTGTTTTGACGTAAAAAAGGTCAACTACAACCTTACAAGAAACATTGTAGCAATTTTATTAGGAGGGTTTTATGATTGATTTTTTTAGGGTGATCAGCATTTTCCATGAGCTTCAAAATGATATATGGGAAAGTATGATAAAATTAAAGATAAAAAAGTTAAGGGGGGAGAACAGACTTATTTGACACCCTGTAGATATGTTCTTGGACCTTGTTGTAAAACATTATTGCAACCAATTTCAATTTGAGGAAATTGGTTAAATACAGGTTTATATATATTTTATATTGTTCTCCCTGCAGTAATCATCAGTGTATCCTCTGCCCATATTTAGCAAACTCTCTTGTTCCATGGTATATTAGTGAAGCTCTCGTATAAAGTCACCCCCTATATCCTATGCAATTTCTTGCTGGCAGTGGTAATATATTTTAGAGGCTTGATTCTTGAGCATTTGTTTCACATCTTTGTGGGTAATTATCATCATTGGGATTCAAATGAGAGTCGCTACATTGCAGTTTGTCAGACTGGGCTGTTCATTCCTCAGGTTCTGCCTCCAAATGTTTATCGTATTTTGAATAAGACTTCTTATTTTAACATAATCACTCTGTGTTGTATCCAGGAGTGAAGGCCACACATTGACTGTACGTTCACTTCGCCTGTTGCAACTAGGGGACCCTCAAGATGTTCAACAGTTTGCCAACATTCATAAATATGCCCCGCTCAAAAGACAGGTATGTGTATATACCACACCAATTTGACAGTGTCTTATGAAATGTATGACTAATGCTACATTCTATATATTGTTGTTTATTGGATTATTTGGTTGATATCCTAAAAAGGAACTACCTTTACATCAAAATACCATGTCAATTATGTTTGTTTTTTATCTTCAGACTGTGATCACATGTTTAGATACAATGAAGAAGTCATTGAATGATGATGATGCCATTAGCTGTCTTGTCCTTGGTACAGAGAGCAAGTCTATTTATGTATTAGACCCAGAGGCATTTACAGTTCTCACCATGGTAATATAAGGAATTGAACAGATTCAGATTTCAAAGCTTTATTGTATTCTCTTAACTTTAAAATGTGAATATACAAAGCATACAGTAGTTAAATAATTAACAAATATGATTTACAACAGTTCCATATATTTTTTATCACTTTGTTAGAATTTGGATCAATAACTAAAAACTAGTAAAAAGAAAAATAAGTATCATTTTATGTTTTTTGGGGTGAACATATAAAATTATATTACAAATAGTATTTAATTATCACTTTGAGAGGTTACATGTCAATTAATTGCCTCTTTGTTATAACAAATAACATCTTTCTTTCAGATGTCTTTGCCCAGTGTACCAGTATTTCTCAGTGTGACAGGACTGTATGATGTTGAATTTAGAATCGTTGTAGCATGTAGAAATGGCGGAATTTATACGCTGAAACGGTGAGCTCCATTATTTATTATTAAAGATAGTGATGAGAAACATGAGACAGCATAAGTGTTATTTGGTTATTGTATATGTTTCATTATAAAAATTACATTCCTCTTCAAATGAAATATAGTCAACCCTTACAAATGATGAATTGGATTAAAATACTCTTATCTTTATAATTGTGTAAAGTTGTGGTAGAAAATTCATTATTATGTCAACACCATTAAGTGGTGACATATTGTTATAGTCTCAAACTTTTTGTGGACTGTGTACAGCAGTTGGTGTTAGGAGTATCTGTATCAGTATCTGTAACAAATGGTAGGTTGTGACATGTTGCATGTTAATGCCTTGTAAATTACTGTTCTTCATTTATGATTTAAAATTTAATGTGCCTTATCATTTCTAGTGGCTCCAAGACCCCGAAATACAGCATAGATCTCAATTCCCAACCAGTGGGCCTAGTAAGAGTAGGCAAGAACATTGTGGTTGGGTGCATGGATGAAACACTGCAGTGTTACACAACAAAGGTACTACAACTTTCTCAGTAGGAGAGTGTCTCATAGGTCTAGAAAAATCCCAATCCTCATATAATTCCTTATTCGGTGTTAAAAAATTCTTGATTTTTTGAATTTTTGCTTTTTTCAATAATTAAATTCCTGTTCAAATTGTTTTCTAAGACTCTTTTCTACTCTCATTCATCCTTGAATTTTCCATGAATATTTTATTAAAGAAACAGATGCATCTTTGCTTTTTCAGAAATTATTTTGAATTCATTCACAGTGTAGTTCAGAAAATTCTAAAAAGGTCCTTCATAATAAACCCAAAAATAGTTCTCGGAATAAACCAATATTTGTATAATTTGTAAAAAAAATGCAATTGTGAAACAAAAGTATGTTAACAATAGAATCAAATGCATAATCATGTCTAAATGGCCACCTTGTTATATGACACGCTCTTTTTTATATTTAACAGGGAAAGAAATTGTGGAGCTTACGGTTACCTAGCAGCATCACAACAATGAACGTCCTAGATAATCCTCAGAAGGGTTTCACAGGTGTGATGGTTGCTCTCAATAACTGCCTCATTCAGATATACAAAGACAAGTACCTGATAAATACTTTAAAGACAGAAGATGTAGTGACAGGAATGATGTTTGGGAAGTTTGGTAGAGAAGATAGTACTCTAATGATGACTACTAAAGGTAGGGAAGTATTTCAAGATTTCCCCTGATTATCTCTCTTTGTTTTGTGATACCCCTCTCTCATGAAAAAAATAGTATGACAATTAAAAATTGTTGGATTTCTTTCTGTTTATTATGTTACTACCACAATTGATGATATATTGTTACTGTGCGTCTCTAACTTTTTTGTGCATGGCACTCGGTGTTCATTGTGCGGCATCTGTAACAGGTGTCTATAACAAATGGTAGATGGTGACATTTTACATGTTAATACCTTCTTACTACTTAAAATGAGAGGAATGCATCCTAAAGAGGGAGCTTCTCAAATTTCTTTATTATAACTTCTTTATTTAAAGGTGGAGGGCTGATCGTGAAAATCCTGAAGAGGTCTGCGAAGTTTGAAGAAAAAGATATGTTTGGAGGGCCCCCTCCTCAGCAGAATGAGAAACTCAACATTCCAAAGAAAACCAAATTGTTTGTAGACCAAACGATGAGGGAAAGAGAAGGATCAGTAGGTAGGAGCCTATACAACTGCCTTAGGGTTCAAAATGTCAGGGCAAGCTAAAGTCATTTTCGTTGACCTGGAAAAACTAGATTCGCGCATGAGAGAAAAAATTGTCTTGTTCATCTTGGTATTTTATAAGTTTGGGAGTTTATTCAGTTGTGGAAAATATGCAGGAACTCTGAGTGAAGTAATTGAACTTATATATAACCACTTGATGAACAACTTGATGTATAATTCGACACATTGAGGCTGGTTTGAAAAATATTACATCAAAAATTGAATCTTGAATCAAATCATGAATCTTGGTTAAAAAATATTTTGATGATAGAACAAAGAAAACCAACAATGTATACTTGGGCATGTACCTTGTCAAAATATTTCTCACTCTCGTAAAAATTTTCAGCGATGCATAGAACCTTCCAAAATGATTTGTATAAGCTGCGACTAATAACTGCGAGAAACTATGTGAAAGCCATGGAAACCAGCATGAACCCAGTCTCCACCAACCCAGAGGAACCTCTAAAGCTTAATGCATCGGTCAGTAATAATTATTAATTAAAGGATGTGTGAATGTTATGGTTTCACATTGCTAGAATAGCTGAAAGGATGAAGCAGAAGCAAGCATGAACAAATCAGTATCTGATATGCATAAGATACAGTAACCATTACAAAAATTATAAATTACCATTACATACAAATAAGGATCTGCCTTATCATACATCTTTTGCAGGTGAATGGAATAGGTCCCTCTTTCAAGTTAACAGTGAACCTACAGAACACATCACTCACAATGGCAGTCATGGATATAGCCATAAGTTTCCAGTATGATGATAAGCTGTACAGTGTTCATAAAACATATATACCAGTAAGTAACACTCTTGAGTGTGTGGTATCTAGTCTAATACTAAAGACTGATGCTAAAAATCACTGATTTTTTAAACATGTATTGGAAAATAACAAGTCAAGTGGTCCGATTTATCTATTTTGGCCATTATATCTGAAATACACCTTATTACTCCATCCGTAAACAAAACTTTAATCGAATGATCTTACTGTCTTGTAGTAATAGTAGTACTGGGGAGTGAGAATTTCTAGGTATATGATAATAGTATATGAAGGTTTACATACAAGATAAGATAAGATTTTTTGAAAGCTTATTAGGCATATAAATCAAATTGTGATATAAAAAGACAAGAATGAATTGATATATTAATTTTTATGTCACCACCAAGTTTTGTGGACAGTGTTCAGTGGTTGGTGTTTGGTGGTCTGTGTTCGATGTCTGTAACAAATGGCAGGTGGTGACATTTTGCATGTTAAAACCTTGTTTGTATATTATATTCATTTTCACGTTGCAGGTCCCCATGTTGGTTCCTGGTCTGAACTATGTATTTGAGACATTTGTGGAATGCCTCAGTGATAAGGGAATCTCAGAGAATATCAAGGTACAAATATATTTTTATGACACTCCTTCTTGGTGTTCGGTGTCGATTAACATTTTTATTTTTGCAACCAGGTGTTTGTTTTTTTCCACACAGCACAGTCTCTTTTCCTTAAATTTTAGATAACTTATATACAATTCTTGGTTACTTATATGCAATTCATCTTTGGTTTTGATGATTTTAGTATACAATCATTTCATTTATAATTACAATGCATATCTGCTTTTCGTATGGTGTAGTCAATCGTAAGAGTTTCTTATGCACCCTCAGTCACCACCCTAGTACTATACAGTACCATGGTGTACCATACGGTACAGCATATGGTATCTTACATAACCATTTCCTCTATAACTGGGTGGATAATGTCAGTGCTGTTGCAGATTGACTTTGCTTGACTTATGCTTATTTAAATTGCAGGTGTTTGTACTAAAGAAAGGAAGATCTATCCCCATTATTACAGCAGTTATCAACATGCCAGTCAGTGAGACTATGGTTGTTGTGTGAGACTGATTTCTTTTGGTAGCTTGAACATAGTGCAGTCAGAATTCATTCATGGAATAAAGTAGAAGATACTGAAGGAATACTCGATCAAGCTTCAGTCAGCTTGTGCCACAGAGACAGAGTTCCAATTTTGAAAAGTATAGCCACTTCTCACTGTATGCATATATTCAGTACAAAAGATTCTCAATTTGAGTGACTTGCTTAAACGTAGTCCTCGAATTTCTTTTATGCGTAAACACTTTTGAGATAAGTGGATGTTGTCAAACAAGATGTAGTCTTTCAAGTCATACTACATACCAAATACCATAGACAGTCAAATATGTGTTAAAATAACGAGGCAGTTATTTGACTATATATCACTCTGGAAATGGAATTCATTTGAAGAAACATGTTTTTCAATAATCATACCACCTTTGCTGTTGTTACAGTTATCTTTATACAGTGAATATTCAAAATGAATATTATTTTTAATTTATAACAGATTGTATTTTTGCCAGATGAACAGTGTAAATAATGCAAGCTATGTTGTAGAAATATGTTTGTGTAGAATCCGTCCTTTTTATTGTCAATACTTGTAAAGTATATATAATTTCATGTGCTGTACATAAACTGTTTATTTTTGTATATATGAGATGTAATTATCTGAATAATCACAAAGCAACTTTTTGTGAACTACGTGAATAAAATAGATGAACTATGTAAACCAACTCTTTATTTGTCATTGGGATAAATAGTATATAAAACCAAGAGATGTTTTAGGCTATTAGTACTGATCTTGAGACTATAGGAGAATCCATGCACTGAATAGGATTAAGTTATGTTACACTTAAGTTACAGTTCACCTATTAAAACACTAAACTAAATAGAAAGTAGCTACAGGGTGTCCCAGAAGTAATGATAATTATGCTCTAAAATTTTTATTTGATATGGAAACAATATGAAATTCACACAAATTAAAGATCAAGATGTTAGCTTCATTTTACTATATTACATTTATTACTTTACACAAATATATTCAATGTATAGTTGCCATAACAACATGTACGCGCGTTCTGCGGAGCAGCTGTGTGTTTTTCATACATTTTTGAAAAACATTTCATGTTCATATGTTTCCCTGCTGTTCACATCACTACTGTAATGCTGCTACTTCATTCCTGATATTCCTTAAGAGCAGTGTACATTGTTGATTCACTTATCCACATACTGTCCTTTGCTGGAAAAATTTGTCTGTGCCTTTCCAGCCAGGATTGGAAGACATGATCAAAACCACTGTTGGACATATCCTTCAGAGCCTACTGAACCAAGTGGCGCAATTGTGCCTCGCTCTCGTGTTTATGCCACCTATACACAGTGGGGTTGGACAGTCTTCTCTCACCATATGCTTGTTTAAACTCCTTTATAGTGTCACTGGGTTTACCCCCTGTCTTCTGAAGGAATTTTATGACTGCTCTCTGCCTTAATTTTTCATCTTTGCTCAACGTTGGTAGCATAATGTAAACCTCCCTGGAAATTCCTAGGTTGTGTTCCTAAGAGTTTTCCTTTTGTGAAACCCTATATGACATCATCATGTGATGTCATAATATCAGATTAAAGTGATAATCCTGTCACAATGAGATAAATTACATAATATTAAACCACTATGACATCATGCAACTGTATACAATTACCATAACAATGATTTAAAAGCTTGAAACATTATCACAGAATAACTGCTTTTCTAAACTAAGTTTGAACATTTATAATATACGGAAACTGCTCCGCAGAACACGCATACATGTTGCTATGGCAACTATACATGGAATATTTTTGTATAAATTCATAAATGTAATATAGCAAAATGAAGCTTATATCTTAAACTTTAATTTGTATGAATTTCATATTGTTTCCTTGTCAAATACAAATTTAAGAGCATAATTATCATTACTTCTGGGACACCCTGTATCACTGTAGACAATGACCACTCTCAAATTGAAATAGAAGAAATTGCCAAAAATCTAATGATAAAATTCTTTGCAGTTTGATGTTTATTGTTCACAATTGAAAGTATATAGCACTTGGGAATGCATATACCTTTTTCATGTACCACACCCACCGGTGGTCAGGCTCACAAGTTTCAAAACTTTTATCTTTGGAGGCTTATCTTATTGAATAAATAAAGGTTAACATCTGCAGAGAAAGTAACAAGACTCTGGGCTATATGACACGTATGTAATGTAATGTGTATGTTTACAACAAGAGCAATTGGAGGGAGTACTATTATTAAGAGCTGTTGGCACAAGCAATTCAGCAGAGGCATATATGTCTCTGGATGCAGCCTGAGGCAGCTAATTTTAAGTTCATGATAGATGGAAAAGTAAAGCTGCAAAAGATGGGTACATACTGACAGAAGGTGACATCATGTAGAGTCATGAGCTTTGAGTTCTTTTTCATCTGGTCTCTTCTTAGCTTTGATTGTTCTCGCTACAAGGCATTGCGAATTACCAAATGCACATACATGTATTGTATTTTTGCAGCGGGACAAAACATTGTGGTTTAGCTTGCTTAATTTAATTTATTCTCAAGTACTGCACACAATGAGAATACATGTACATTAACAATACATGTACATTAACAATACATGTACATTAACAATACAATGTACAATGTCTTAACAAGCATTGATTTCAATGTTATCTCATCATTTTGACTAATATACATATTGTGTTCTTACAAATACAATCTATGTACACTGTCTACACTTTAGCTGCCTAGTATTTCTAAACAAAAACAAACAAAACCTTCAGAGGGTCAATAGGAATAGGGTTCTGTAAGTGAAAAACAATAGAGTTTATTTGTGAAACATTTTATATGTTCTTCTGCAATATCTTAACATTTTGTGGAGAATGTATGTTTTACCCTTTTAGTTAAGTGAGTAAGAAAACTCTTTCTTATTCCTTCCCCCATTGGGACCTATACTTTCAATATTAATATTTAAGAACAGTATGTGACTGAAAGCCATTTATGATAAATAAAATAAATACAGTATATACGTATAATAGCCATTTCATCATTGAATACTTAAGATCCTTATAAAACATTTTGGCAATTGTATTTAGTTCTTGAATTAATCTATAAACTAAGAAAGCACTGCAAATGGTAGGTGAAGAATGTGAAATCATTCATTTACTAAAATAACCTATTTTGTAGCTAAAATAGGTTTGTGACTTGCTTTGCATATTTCTGAATGTATTGCATCATAATGAACTATAGATTTTCTCTACAGTCTGCTCTTGCATCTCTAGGATTTTAAGTCAGTCGGATGAACAGTTTTCTTGCCATCAAGTTGACACAGTTTATTATGCAACGCACTTGTCTGACTGTCCAGTGTCCATCATCACAAGAGGACAACAATATTGTAGTAGCACTTTTCAAGTGTGATAAAAACTTCAACATAAATTAATTTATTTTTGATCAACAGTAGTATTTTTTTCAACACTGCATCTATTTGATGGGTTTAAATATATCCAAATTATAATGCTCTCCATATTGATCCAAGTGGCGTTTTAATTGTTCATTTTGGCGTTTTAAATGTTCAGGCATTTCATCGTATACATCGGTGAGTAGTTCAGATGGTGAGGGTTTCAGGACCTTCTCTGCTCTACCAAAGGACTCCATAACCTGAAACGTACAATTTAAGTATCATAACTTAAACATAACTTTAACATCACTTTAATATTTAATAATATTAGAATCAATGATTTGTATGTGGATGACCAGGTGATTACAATTTTTCAATCTTGGGATGACAGAAAACAGATTTTTTCAATGAATAAAAATGAATTGACATTTTTTGTCATGACCATTTCAAAATGCGTAAAAACAATGATATCTGGGTCAATAGCAAAATTCAGATATTTTCTATTTTTGAAAAGTAAGTTTGTATTTTCATACAGCAAAGGAGCAATTTCATGATATACCCTACCATGTCAATCAAGTAAATGCGAAGGTAAAGACTGTTACCTTCGCTTGATACTGACCAGTGATCTTTGAGTGTCTTCTTTTCTGAAACCTTTATCCTCATATTTATCTATACATTTGTATATCTGTATCATACTCAGTTAATTGTATACTTTTATCACACAGTCTAGAATATAGATGCCACTGTTCAATGCTAGTCATGTTATGTTTATCATGATTGACACATACTTGCAGTAGAATTATGATTTCTTAAACAATGACATCCAAAACTACTTCAAATAAAGACATTAACATTCAAAATGTCATCACCTGCCATCGGATGCCAACCAAACACCATTTGCTACAGATGCTGAAAGCTGAACATCAACAACCAAACACCATCCGCAAAAAAGTTGGAGTTGGTGGTGACATAAAAAAAAAAAATATTAACAATAAAATGATACAAAATACCATTTTTCTTGACTGCTTCATCCACTCCTTTTCTTTTTTCTCATTCCACCATCCTTTGATCTTCATGTACCCTCTAAGCCGAGATATTGGGTGGTCCTGCTTGTCCCAGTAACTGACCTCATCCACAGACCTGTATGCCGAACTGTCATCTGAAGTACTGTGGTGTCCAATCCTTGAAAACACAAAAATCATCATCTGGTTAGTTTTGCATTTGGCTTGAAATTCATGTAAACTAAAAGACGATCACATACTGTAGGTTGAAGATTTCTGAAATGAAACTGTTATCTGAAGTATAGTGATCCCCTATCCCCCCAAAGCAAAAATGACATAAATTATCAAGATAACTTATGTAACGTAAATATAGTTTAGTGCATCATCTACAGTAGACTTTTAAGCCAATCTATTGGTTAACTATCATCTACATAATATGTCCATGTATTATACTTTTACTTTTCATTAAGTGAAATAGGATTGATGGGAAAAAAGTTTGGTAGAAAAGTCTTGATTAATAAAGTATAAAAAATATTTTACTTGTCATAAAGAGGTCGCTATGATCTAATGAGATGTTGTTGAACATAAAAACAACATATGTTCCGTAATCATTTTTTATATTTCATAATCATGTTAAATTTGCAATCTTACTGATAAAAGCTATATCTTGCATATAATGTATATTTCAAAATCTGATGATAAAAGTTATTGTTACTAAATTGTTTGGATGATAACTCCATATTTTTCAGGTGCAAACTAATTCTGAATATACTGCTTATGTCAATATGTGACAAATACTTCAGCAAACATTCAATGTCTCAAGTTAACCTCTGAGAAGTATACAAATGTCATCTTGACTTTTACTTTGTGCTCCAATATTAAGATTGAACATTTTATTAATTTTTAAAACACTACTTTTCATGACTCAGTATGTCTTTTAGACATTTCCTACTAAAGCGCTAGACTGTATATAAACATACTGGCTTTCATTTTCATTTGATGAAAGAGGATCACATATGAAGAAATGTTTTTAAATTGCACTATTCACCTTTCCCCAAAGTCCAAAGTGTACTCATTTGACCGCTGCGCTGATTGGTCGGTGAAAATCGATGACGTCAAAGCAGGGCACTTTTCGCGCGAAAACTTCATTTACTATTAGATTGCCCATTGAGTAAAATAAATCTCATCTAAAATGTTATCAAACCTAGTTGAAATTTATTTTTCTGAGTTTTTTGTCTTCGGCTGTGACTTAAATACACTACCCGGTAAATGAAACCATAGGAATAATTTGTGATATGAGTGCTGGTCTTCTAATAAATTGAATCCAATTTATAGTACCAAAGACAAACAATTTTCAGACAAGACTGTGCATATTAATAGAAATATTCATTTAACATAAATATTCAAATACATTATTATGTTTCTAATAAAAATATAACATATGAAGAACAGTTTGTAATGTAACAGAGGCTAATGATATTTTTCTCATGCTTGCACAAACCTAATAAACAATTTCCAAACTCATGATGGGTCGTGGACTATTATTGTATTTTTAAAATTGCAAATGCAATTACCAGATAGAACTTCTCCCTTGAAGGTATTACGTCCATAAACATCGTGAATATTCTCTCAGCAGTTCTATATTTAAAAAGAATACCCATGGGCTTTTTAAGAAGTAAATCTCATTCAAAAAACGATCGTAGGTAAAACAGCTAGAAACCCTGTCTCAATAAAACAACTTTAACATTGTTCAATGAAATTAATCATCACTTATGTAACCATTATCAAATTCTTCGGCAGACATAAAAGTAACATTGTCTTGTGAAATAATAGGTGGCTGAAAAATGGAAAGTAACGCACTGTTAGCCCAGATTTGATTGATAGATCCGAAAAGATTGATCGGGATTGCTCGATCAAAGATGTGGTTATTTTTCACTTTATTGATACTACGTTCCACATGTATTCTTTCTGCGGCAATCTGCTGTGTTTGATACACATCATTGGCATCCATTTGATCGTTCTGGCCAAGGAATGGGGGGATATTTAAGTTCACGCCAAGTGGATCGAGCAAATCTTTTATCAAGAAACCCTTGTCCACCATAACATCATCGTTCTTATTGAACGGCAGTCTTAAAAAGCCAGAACGCTCGGTCAATTCTCTGTCAGATATGCTACCATGGTATAGTGAACTGACGAACGTAGGGCTACCCTGAGGAGCGATTCCGATGAGACCTTTAAGCGTATTGGTACCTTTGTAGTTGGAGTACGTTTGGGATTTTAAAGTTAGTGATTTTGGCATTTGACACTTAATTTCAAATGCATCTAGAATAACCCGCGTATTAGGATATTTCTCCTTGAAAGACCCTGGCATCGTTAAGTTAACATCATTTCTATCAGGCCAGATATTCATTGATCCTAGTGTTACATAAAGGAAATTCGCCCACTTGAGAAAAATTCGAGAAACTGTGGACTTCGATATACCGAACTTTACTGCTAAGTCGAGCTCAAACATTCCAACCCTGACTCTACAGAGGTAAAGTAAAAATTCATCCTCAACACAAAGCTTATGTGGTCTTCCAGATTTTTTCTTCTTGTCGTGCATTTTTTTCTCAGAATTACGATCCGCAATGTTTTCACCATCTTTACCTGGATTTAAGAATTTAAGTACGGTTCCGTATATAGCCTTATTTGGAAAGCCGGTATAGAATGCTACATGTTGTTCCTTTAAATTATTGAATGTAAATTCCTTAGCACGCAGTGCCTTATTTTCTTCGCGTAACCTATCACACACGGTTTTACTTTCATCAATATCAAAATTCTCAGATTTCATCAATTTTGCCTTTTCTAGTTTTAGATTGTCAATCTCATTTCTCAACTTGCTTATTTCGTCAGTTAATACCAATATTTCTAAAGATTTGCTTGCTTCACTCAAAGTCTTTGAGATACAATTTTCACATTGAACCTTATTTCCTAAAGTCGGGGTTGCAGTTGGGGTAAGAAGACCAAATGGCTCAGGTATCGAATAGTAAATAATACCAATGTTGCGATTATTGTTGTTTTGTTTCATACGATTTAAGGGTCTTTTTCTCTGGTTACTACAGTTAGTTGTATTCATATGTGGAACATCTACCCAACAATCAAAAACATGAGGTACAACATCTTTTTTCAGAGAACGTTTCTTACTAAAACCATGATATTCAAAATCATCATCAGTGAAGTGTAAAGAACAGACTTTACAAGAAGGTTTCAACTGAAATGATTTATCTTCCATTCGATGGATAGCAATTAACCACTTTCTTTTATCATTTTCTGGAACCTTTACAAATGTTACGATCTTGTCTTTAACAACTGACGTCCCATATGAGGTGCATCTTGGAACTATGCAATGTGTTTTGTGTGTACATGTCTTGCGTTTCTTGGAACTGTCACCAAAATATTTATTTTCGAGTTCGTTTATGTGAAGTTGATGATATGCTGCCGCATCCTGAAATCAATTGAAGAAAATTATAAATGGTATTGCATTGAATTATTATCAAACACTGATTCACGAGTCGAAAAAGTTTTCTTTAAGCCCCCCCCCCCCCGGTGTTAATTAACTAAGCCTCTTGTTCAAACCCCCCATTTAATTTCTATTTCCCTGGCTGGATGTACATCAATACTTGTTCATTAACTGGAGTGTACGCAAGACTCTAGTAGGCCAAAACCTTGACAATTTACCCCCCTCCCCCAATACATATGACTCGTTTTTATTGTTAATTGATCAATAAGTATCTATTTCACCTAACACTACGAGAAAATATAGCACAAGCTTATTATTACAGTGCAGTAGTAAGTGGTATGTTGACAGTCAAGAAGTACATATCAGGGTCAATGTGCTGTAAACATTGGACTCTTCACATCAATTTTACTCCATTCATTTGATTTCTCAGAACAGTATAATGAAGGGAGAATATGAACGAGAGTGTAATCAATGAGATTCCATCACATTTATGATACAGATTATTAAGTACTCACCATGATTCAACAATTAAATGAGCCCGTCTCTGTCGCGATTCACATTGACTTGCAATATAATGTGTTCAGATTTTGCCGCGAAAATCTGCCCTACTCTGACGTCAGAGATTCTAGATTTGCTAATTATAATATTCATGAGCTGACTTTGGGGAAAGGTGAATAGGGTGCTATGTAGTTATTACATGTACATGTAGTTTGCAAAATAGGCAGACATGCATCTGAAAATCTTGGCTGCACATTTCCTGTTTATGTAAATGTAAACCTGAGACTAACATAAAATTTTATGTTAGTCTCAGTGTAAACCTAAGATACCCCAAAATCTATAGATAAACCTATCTTATTATAAAGATAAACCTCTGTATTATTGGTGTATGACTATCTGTCACCATTGGTGTCCGGGGGTTCATTGGGTGTGACCACACCTCCTTTTTTGAGCCAATCCCTGACAATTTCATTCATGGTGCTGATATGAGAAGGAGAGTAGGAGGAAAGAAGGACCATGTGATCTTGGGAAAGAGGTGGGCTTCAAGAGCCAACTATGATGATGGAAACTTTAGATGTACATAAAACACCATTTGAAAAATCCTAGGGAAACCTCAGGTCACGCCATATCATTGTTGCTGATTGTTCAATTGCTATAAGAAAGAAAATTACAGATTCAATTTTTTTTAACATGCTTCAAATTATAAAATGTTTATCTCTTGCATATTCAAAATACTTTAAAATAACTTTTAACATCAAGATAAAGAAATTGATTTAGTTTTGCAATATTTCGATTTATTCTTTAAATCTTTTTCAAGCAACTGAAAATTGTTCCTATAACAAAAAAATAAAGATAAAGAAAGATGTAAGCAATATATCTAATTGATTGAAGCTTCACATCAACACACAACATTCAGATAATAGTTGGTGAAAAATGATGGTTGTGTGCAAAAAAGGTAATTATGAGTTTATGAAATATGGCATATAGCTCCTCTTAAAACAGATTTGTTTAATTTGAATCAAGTTGAAATTTAACCTTTTTAATTTTTTTAATCTCATACATAAAATTCCATGAAATGCTATCAAATTCTTTTTCAAAATCTAAGAAAAGCATATATATAAATCAAGCAGATACAGTGTCCACAAATTAAATTTCAAATACTCGTACTAAGGGTATTAACGTTAATGTTTGATTTACAATAGTAATATATGGTTCAGCCGATAACCACATGTTATTTTCAGGTATAAACTTGCCATGATTGTGTCATTATATTCAAAAGACACTTCAGCAACGTTTAATGTTAACATCGGAGAAGTAACCATGTCATCTTGACTTTTATTTAAGCTTTCAAGTGAAATATCAAACTTTATACAGACACCGCTAGATGTTATTGATGATGAGGGGGCTTAAAGGGAGTGGTGCAATGCACATGATGAGTGCAGATGCATTTCTTTTTAGTTTTTGTTCCTTGTATGAAGAGAGACATTTGGACACATCCTTTTAAAGGCAATTGGTATAAAAGAACTTCCTTGTCAGCAATGTGTTTTATCAAAATCAAATTTAAATCATCATTGCATATACTTGTTGTGCTTTTCTAACATTTTAGCAAGCCAAACCTACTCCATCTATGTGCATCTAGATATGTATGCGCAAGTGCCAATGGGAAAGTACCAAAAATGGTTACAGAACACAGCAATAAATAGAAAACATCTATTAAGAGCACACCCGTCATAAGGAAAATAATTACCAACTATCTCAAATCTTTATTCAACGTAAAATAAACAGTGTCTAATACCCCTCCCCGCCATTCAAGTACCAATATCACAATCCGAGACCATTATGCCAAGGGACATATCATTTTTACTGAAGGACTAGACTTGCACATCATCGTAAGAGAAATATATGAAGTTCAGTATTAGTTATGTTTCAGAATGCCATTTAAATGTTCAATTGAAGCTTATTTTTTTATTGCCATATACAGCACCTTCCTTAATTGTACTACTTCAAGTTGTGATATATTACAATTACTGCATCTCATTTGATATACAGTTAGGCTTAAAGTCCCTTCACAATCAAAAGTACTTAAGCAACTGAGGACTAAGTCCTATTTACATAAAAATATGGATTTTGGCAGGATTAATTAATGAAGTGTTTAACATTCCATGAGATTTTCATCCGCTGTATTTTTAAACCAGTACTGATGAATATTCCTCTGGTCTCTATCAAATGGATGAATGATAAATGGTCTATTTAACATATGGAATCAAGATTTAGCCAAGTCTTTTTTCCCACATTCAAATGCAAAATTAACGTTTAAATTGATTATGTACGAGAGTTATTGGATTTTAATGACCATTCATTTATTTGTCTCAAAAATGCAAAAAATCCTTGCCCTAAATAACATTAAGATTTTTAAAATCCATTTAGAAAATGAAATAGAGGAAGGATAAGTTTTTTGAGCTTGAGGGGTAGAAAATATAAGAATTGGAGAGACCCTTAAAAGACAATGTTAAACGCTTATATTTTTCCCTGGCCTTATTGGTAAAACGCATATATTCAACTTCGCAGTTGACATTACCAAGTTCATCCCAACCCTCCTCTATAGCAACATCTGATTATGAATATGCGCACGCAACAAACTTCTGAGAAGATGGTCGTTATTCGATTAAAGCATATTGAACGTTGTGCCGCCATGAATCTAGTCGAGTCATGATATAGAGGGTGGTGTATTTGAGACTTGAGTGTAAGTATATGTTTTAGATATATTATGTTGTTAAATATGTAAATGAAATAAAGACATATCTAAAGTACTGAATAATGAAATAATGAGATCAAGTAAAAAAATGAAATAGTAAATAGGAGCCACGTACTTAAGTAGCCACCATTTTAAGTTGAAACAGCCATTTTTGTACTTGGGTAAATAGGATGAGTATGACTGTACTATATTTCCACATCCTGAAATAATGTATTTTAAATCATATCTGAATTCAATAAATGATATTTGAATATCCTGAATACTTAAATCTACATGATTACTAGCAATGAAGAACAATAACAAAGGATATGTGCATTTACAGACTATTAGACCAATTTCAAAATGGTTTCTATGGGGATTTGTTTTTCTAAATGTACATAAAACACATACAGGAAATAAAATCAGTATAAAAATAGCTCATATCACATGTTTTTTTATTTTTCCTCCAATGTATAGGTATTTGATTCTGTTAAAAGGCAATTTGGAGAGCAACAAATGTTTTGAACGTTATTTTAATTGAACAAGTATGGTGCAATGTCTGTGTCAAATACTTGTATGATCATTGTTTCAGTGAATCATTGGGCTTTTAAAAAATAACATTTCAATAATATTTTACCAGTGATGTAACTATCTAATAAAGTCAAAATGTGATTAAAACAGCCATATACACTATTATTGATCATATAGTGACATTTACAATGAAATAACAAAATTGTGTGAGTATTTCTGATGTGGTATTACTGATTATATTCAAGGGTTTATTTCATTCTTCTGTGGAATTCTTCTGTGATGTAAGATCTAAGATTACTCATTCCAAATTTCATCAAATCAGAAATAGTGAATCCTGATGAGTTCTGTCTGTGAAGCCTAGAAGCAGTACATATTTCAAAACACCTGTAGTATAAATACTTGCAACTTGGATTATGCACAATATCAGGCACTCTCACAAAGTATTTCAGAAAATCTATTTTAAATTATGAATAATTGTTTTCATGTAAACTTAATTAAACACATTTAAATTTTTCGCATGATATATGTGTTTTGTGTTGCTCTCTATTGTCTTTAACAATCACACGAGATGGAATGGCCTTAACTAATCTATGTCCTAGGAGAGATAACAAAGAAAAGCCTTATTATTGATTATAATGTAAAAAATTGACCAGAAAGCATGAATTGCAACATGAAAAATTCTAACACACAAAGGTTATCATTACCTGAAACTCCCCCTAAAGTGGTTAATCTTTAACATAATATGAAATATCTGAGTACATGCATGTAATGTTTGACTAGATCCAGTCCATGTCATTATGTAAAAATGTACATTTGCCACTTGAAAAATGATTACTAAATCAATAGTGCTGATAAAAGACTTGAAATATTTAAAGAGGCGGCAATAAAGTTATACTTCTTAAATCTATTTTTGAACATTACGGGGATCAGATTCAATGGACACATTGACATAATTGAAAAATTGCTTCTAACATTTTACTTGCTGCTACTTCAATTATCATTCTTCTATTACTGTAATAAAATATCATACATTATCTGATTATGTTTTAGGATCTCCCAAAGTCTCATCAGATATATACCAAAAATGTCAAAGCCTGGTGAACTCACTGCTTGGTGTGCTGAAGGACAAATTCATAAAGTTAAAAATTATATTAATAAAAACAAGTCAAGTGACAAGTTTGTAAGTACACTATCAACAGCATTGCCATTTGCTGTTCAACTGAAAGCAAACACACAATACACCGTAAATCAAAAGAAACAAAAACTAGAATGTGTCAAAGTTCTGCTGGGTAATGGAGCAAATCCAAATACACCAGATGATAAAGGAAGAACTGCATTGATGTTTGCAGTAAGTTGCAGGCAGGTTGAATGTGCTGAACTTTTAATACAATGCAAGGCTGATGTGAATGCCAAAGATGCTGAAGGAGAAACACCATTGCTCTATGCCATAGGAAAGCAATCTTTAAAATGCTCAACATTATTGGTGAAACATGGCGCAAATGTTAATCAAGCTAAAATGCAGGTTGGGGGAATCACGCCACTTATTCGTGCTGTAGAGAAGAATCAATATGAAATAGTAAAGCTTCTGGTAGAAAAAGGTGCACATCTAAATGGACAGAGTAAAAAAGAAACAACAGCGTTATTATGTGCTATCAAAGGATATACCGACAGCAACATTCCAAGTTTTCTTATCAATAAAGGCGCAGACGTAAACCAGAGTGATAAAGATGGGAAAACACTGTTGATGTATGCCTCTGAATGCCCAAACAAAGTTGAACTTGTTGATTTACTTTTGAAAAATGGAGCAGATATTCATGCTGTGTGTAGTGTGGAGGGTTCCACTGCACTTATGTATGCTGCTGATGTAGTACCCAATGAGAAAACATTGAAGCTACTTATCGAGAAAGGAGCAAATGTTAATGCCAGGGACAAGCGAAATAACACAGCACTTATATGGGCAGCTATGGGTGTAAATACCACTGATAATGCCAGAATTCTGATTGAAAATGGGGCAGAAGTCGATGCAATTAATAATGATCATTATACAGCATTGCTCCTTGCAATCAAACAAGATGTTTTTCTACAGGCAGTCCAAGAGAAAAAGCTAGAATTCAACATCAAAGATTGGACAATAACAGGAACATGTACTACAAGAGTGTTTCGAGACCACGTTATGGAGATGTTGCACAAATTCTCTGATGTTCTGTTTGGCGACAATGAATTCATGAAACTGTTATTAGATAACAATGCAAATGCTAATGCATGTGATGATAATGGAGAAACAGCGCTGATAAAATCAATCAAATACCAGAATATGAAAGCATTCTACACTCTTCTCAGAAGTGCACCTGATGTTAATCTGGCAGATAATAATGGATGCACTCCCCTTATGCACACCATGCTGTACATGCCCCATGTAATGAACTTCCACATGTTTACAATGGCTGTTGCACTACTTCGCAAAGGAGCTAATCGTTTTACTGAAAGTAATGAGGGTTTGACAGCTGAGAAAATCGCAAAGACTAAAAACATAAGCTTGGGACTGTGGGATAAAATCAGGAAAATGGTTGATGAATGTAAGTAGTATAGATTTTAAATGGCAGCAGGTCTAGATCTAGGAACAAGTTTCTTTTAAATTTTTTGTAGATTATTATTTCAAATATATTCCACCTTTTGAAAGCTCCTATGTCCCTTGAACTTAATCCATTAACTGGTATTTGAGATATTACATTATTTATGAAAAAATAGAAGTCATTTTGAATTGAGCAGCCATCTTGAAAATTCTTGAGTAGAGTCCTATGTCCCCAAAGCATCAGCCTATACAATTTGTACCAAGTGTATCAAACATTACATTTATCATGAAAATTGGTGGCAATTTTGAAAATGGCAGATGGACGAAAGGATGGACAGCTTCTCTATATCCTTATGAACATTGTTTGGTGGTATAACTTATCCCTACAAATTTTGTTTGGGGGATAATTATGATTTCAGTTAACTGTTCTTGTTTATTTTACAGTTATTTCACAAAATCCATACCATGCCATTGAGAAGACACCAAAATGTGACAAGCTGTACAGAAATAAAGAGATAGAAGTTGATACTGGAAACAAAGGGTAAATTTATTTATTTCAATTTAATTAATAATTTTACTTCCAAATATGTGTATATTTTTATGAGGTATACTTTTAAAAGTTGCTACAATTTTAAAATGTATATGCTAACATCATTCCATACGCCATAACACATCTCCTGACAAATACTTTTATTTCTAAAGCTATTCAGCAATGATTCTGAAAAGGAGGAACATTTTAATGAATTCGCACATCATGTTTAATTTTGTAAATTAGGAGCTGAAGTTTCTTGTAAAATTTACTCAAAAGATCCTTCACTGTCACTTTCATATGAATATAGAATGTTTCTCTCTATCACAGGTGGGCTTTTAGTGGTGGTGATGCTGAACATAAGAACCTCCATACCTGTGATGTAGTACCTGGCACTGTTCCTGAAACATCAGGTAATACAGTGGCGTAGCCAGGATTTGACAGGGGGGGGCTTCAAATATTTTCAGCAAATTTTTTTTTGTGCCACCTTATGGTGAATTTGGTAAAAACTTTTCCAAATTTGCTTATATTTTGCAACATTTGCTTAAATTTTGCCAAATTTGCTTCATTTTGGTTTATTATATAAATTTTTGCCAGTTTGCTGGTATTTAAAGGTTTCAACCTTTGCTAAATAATTATAAGAGCAAAATCATAAGACAAGTGCAATATCCCAATTTTTGACCAATTTCATTTCTTTGGAACATTTAAGGGCAAAAATCTAGAGCAAAGGTCTATTAAAATCCCTTTAAATTTTACGTTTTTACAACTTTCTGGATAGGTCAGAAAGATATATCCAAAATGAATAGCTCAAGGACATTATCAGACATAGACTCCCCCAATTTAATTCAAGCATAGGTTGTGTAATTCGATTGTCTTGAATTTTCCATTACTTGCACGATGTACTCTCCAAATAAAAAGGAAGCAAAAATTAGAGCAAAAATGTGAGTTAGTCCCAATAAAAAAAAATTTTGAAAGTGACTCCACCAAAAAATAAAGTTTTTTAGAGTTCAGAACTTTGGTGCATGACATGCATTACATAAAAAATTGTGATATCTTTGATCATACATTCATGTTGTATTATCCCATATGGGGAATCATGGCAGATGGTAGTCATTTGACAATGTTTATTTATTTGTTAGATTACTTGCTGGATTGCTGAGGTTGTCTTAGGAACTTTTCAAACTTTTTCTAACTTTATTTTATATCTTTTTGTCATTCTGTTGTATTGACATATTTCATTTCAAGGGTTTAAATAAAAAAAACTCGAGAAGATTTCTAAGCATGGAAGTTCTAAAGATTTCTCTGTTTGTTTTAGAAGACACCACAACAAGCCAAGGTGAAAGCAAGAATGATGGATGTGCTGCTTGTCATGATGATGAGTCATCTGAAATATGCAATCTGACGGGCAAAGAGAAAAGAATTTTGCTTAGGTATAATATGACAAAGATATACCTTCTATTTGAACTAGATAATGGCAACTCCGCGGAGTAGCAAATCCCAACGAACAAAATATCAATTACCGAATTCCAATCAATTATACTCATTACTTTGGTTGAAAATGAAAAAATTAGATTTTAGAATTGAGAATTCCTGCAAAGCAGCCATTTTGAATTTTCTGAGGTACAAATCTGAAAAATAATACAGTGTGTTGTGATCTACTTCAAAATTCCTTCAATTTGAGTATTATATAGCCATACGTTGAAGGGATCAAAAAGTTATTGCGAAATCGTACATTAGACGGCCATTTTGAATTTTACGAGGCTCGAATCAGAAAAAGATATAATATTTGCAATCTACTCTTAATTGCCTTTCATTTGAGTATAATAAAGCTATACTTCAGAAAGATCTAAAAATTAGCGAAAATTTCTGTTTTCCTGACCCCCATGGAATATATGTGAAATAGATAGATGTTGCGAATATACTACCAAGATTTCAAACAATAATACTAATTACTTTGGTTTAGAATGAAAAATTTATGATTTTTGCGAAAAAGTCCCGTCATTTTTAAAGCGGCGGCCATCTTGAAAAATTTTTTTTTTTGCGTAAAACTATTCATCAATATACATCTTTCCAACAAATATGAAGAAAATCCGTCAACTAATATTTGAGTTATCTTCCGGACGGACGGACGGACTGACTGACTGACGGACGGACGGACGGACGGAGGGCTTCACTATATCCATTTTGAATTTTCTGAGGTATAAATCTGACAAATAATACCATAATTGTGATCTACTCCAAAATTCCTTCAATTTGAGTATTATATAGCCATACTTTGAAGGGATCGAAAAATTATTGCGAAATCGTACATTAGACTGCCATTTTGAATTTTACGAGGCTCGAATCAGAAAAAAGATACAATATTTGCAATCTACTCTTAATTGCCTTTCATTTGAGTATAATAAAGCTATACTTCAGAAAGATCTAAAAATTAGCAAAAATTTCTGTTTTCCTGACCCCTATACACGGCCCCTGGGGGTCAGGATGAAAAACACGGAATATATGTGAAATAGATAGATGTAGCGAATATACTACCAAAATTTCAAACAATAATATTAATTACTTTGGTTTAGAATGAAAAATTTATGATTTTTACGAAAAAGTCCCGTCATTTTTAAAGCGGCGGCCATCTTGAAAAATTTTTTTTTTGCGTAAAACTATTCATCAATATACATCTTTCCAACAAATATGAAGAAAATCCGTCAACTAATATTTGAGTAATCTTCCGGACGGACGGACGGACTGACTGACTGACGGACGGACGGACGGAGGGCTTCACTATATCCCTACCGAACTTCGTTCGTTGGGATAATTAACTCACATATCCATTTTGTTGACCTAGATATTCTGAAACCTGATAATTTGACTAACCCCATAAACTCAACAATATGATAGTAGTTCTTACATGATGTTTCAATGCCACAATCCAATATATTTAACACTATAAGAACAATTTATGCTGTTGCAGATTTCAGAGTTTCAGTTTTTTAGTCCATATTTCTGGCAAAAAGGCAACATGCTTTTAAAACCCCACATTGCCAAAATATGTTCACATCAACTGGTTTTTGCAATACAAATGTGATTTCAATGAGTAATTGACGCAAAAATTAACATGTTGGTTATAACAATATGATTGCGACACATACACATTAATCTGATTCTTGTTATAACTTAACTTATACTAGGTATATATTACTGCAGAGGGTATCCAAAAGCAAATCTTACCACCTTAATTTTATTTTCATCGAAATATTTATTTTTAGTGGCAAAATGTGAAAACTTTGACCTGAGATATATCTATTTCCTAAGTTATTTTAGTAGCCATGGTCATGACACTTTGGGTTATTTAGTAGCCATGGTCCATTGTCTTACGACACTTTGGGTTATTTAGTAGCCATGGTCCATTGTCTTATGACACTTTGGGTTATTTAGTAGCCATGGTCCATTGTCTTATGACACTTTGGGTTATTTAGTAGCCATGGTCCATTGTCTTATGACACTTTGGGTTATTTAGTAGCCATGATCCATTGTCTAATGACACTTTGGGTTATTTTTATGTGCGTTATTTTACTTTTACTACTCTAAAAGTAGTGGAGAGATTTTGTTGAAATTTTATATGTGACTGAGAAGCATATTACACTTTCTTATGACAATTTGGCTACTAAGAAGCTATTTTTAAAATTGGTAGACATATTTAAAGACATTCCATTAAGTGGTTCAGCGGGATTCTCATCAACTTTTTCTTATAATGTTATCATGAAATATATAATGTTATCGTGAAATATAAAATGTTATCATGAAATATTTACATGTAATGGTAAGGTTTTTAAATCTTCCTCTATATGTTCACCCTTTGTAAAAATAGTGGTATCCACTTTACCTTATTTATAAGAAGTAATTCCTTAATTCCAGCCTAGAAGAAGTCCATAGTTTTGGAACACCACCTGGACATTCCAGATTCACCATATACTTAAATAATACCAATGATGATGAAACAAAAGGTAAAATAAAAGAAGCTCTCCCTTCCCATAAATTCGAATTTGAAGGAACTGATGATCAACCTGAAAGTGTAAGTTTTGGGGTAGCTGGAGCAAGTATTGGGACACCTTATAAGGGAACACTAGGGGGGTGTATCAAAATCAACCAAGATGATGGGAATTCCATACCATTTGCACTAACAGCCCATCATGTGGTTAAGGAGGTCGATAAAGGTGGTCCAGTAGGTATCTTTACAGAAGATCCTCAATCTGGTTCTGTCATTTGGAAGCCCATAGGTACATTAGAATATGCCATTGGCCTGAGCCCCACTGAGTCTGATGTTTTTCAGGAAACGACATATGATCTTGCACTCATCAAGCTACATGATCAAATCAAAGAATGTGGTAAATGTGATTTTAAGCCAATTGACAAAAAGGTAGTAAAATCCATAAAATTAGTTCACAAGAGAGGGTGTATGACAAATGAAACAATTGGAAAGGTATTGGATTATCGTTTTAGTGGGAAAATAAACTGTGAACTTGAAGTAGGAGTGAGAAAAGATGTTACAATTCTAAATGCCATAAAAATAATTGGTATCAATCAAAAGCCATTTGCAGTGAAGGGTGACAGTGGATCCTTTGTGTATTTTAAGGAAAATGATAAATGCTATGTCATTGGAATGTTCTACTTTCTTGGAATCACCAAGGATAAGAAACAGGTTGCATTGGCATTTCCTCTATGTAGTGCGTTCAAGGAATTAGCAGAGAAATTTCCAGAGTTTAAAGGTTGTAAAGGGTTCATGGCATGTTCCGGGGTTATATGTAACACAAGTGCCCATTAAACATCAGGATTCCTCAGATAAAGACATTAGGCTTCTACAACTAGGGACACCACACTGCCCTGTTCTATCATAGACATACTTTGTCATTCCAAACATACTGAGCCATAATGTATATTATCATGCCAAACTACACAAAACATACAGAACCATAATAATGAGCCATGCTGTGCCATATTAATTGTATTGTATTTTGTTTACCACCAATGAAGGTGAGCAATACCTCTTGGACATATCCCGTATTGTACAAGTGGTGGACCACTCAGTCAAACACCTTGAAGTACTTCACGCAACAAGCAAAGTGCCCGAACTAGGGATCAAATCTGGGACCTATGTGTATTTGTACACGCTCTACCGCTGAGCTACATAAGTGGACTTAATATTTTATATAGTGCCATAATTTATGGTTGTATGCCATACTATATTTGATTATGCTATTATTAGTACACCCTTGGTATATGCAATGAGCAATAATGGACCAGCCAGGTTCAACAGTGTGACTGGTATGTAGTAACAGTTATTTTTAGGCTAATTTTCCCATAACTTGATTAGTGTCTACTTTTTCATGTCAAATTTGAGATCTTAGATATCTTAGAATGTTGGAAGCTCCCCAGTTTTTTATAGGTTTTTAGAAGAGGTAAAACTCTTAAAATATGCATTGAGGCTTTATTACATCATGTAAAAATTCATAAAAATTTGGGGGCTTCCAAACATTCCAATATATCATAGATTTCAAATTTGGCATTAAAAAGTGGAGACTAAGTTAGTTATGGGTAATTTAAATAAATAAATAGTTGTTTAACTGCACCAGTCACGCTGTTGAACCTGGCTAGTCATTATTTTCACTGATATACTATAGCAAGTACATTGAACGAAAAAGTCAGAGAATAAAATACTGGAATTACTGGGTGAATATGATAATTAAATATTTTGAGAAAAAGATTGTTTTAGAAATGAAAAGTTTTGAACTTTTGGAGAAAAAATGAAACTTTCACAAAGAAAAATTAAATGAGCAAAAAGTTGAAAGTGAATATGATTTTAGTACAAAAGTAGAAAATTCAGAGGAACATTCAAATTTTCAAAAATAGAAATAGCTTAAATGGTTTAATTATTCAACTCTAGCAGATACATTGAACGAAAAAGTCAAAGAATAAAATACTGGAATAACTGGATTAATATGATTATAATAAACATTTTAAGAAAAAGATTGCTTAAAAGAAATGAAGATTTTTGAACTTTTCTAGAAAAAATGAAACATGAAAAAAATTAAGAAAAGGAAAAAGTTTAAAGTTAATATGATTTTAGTACAAGAGCAACCACGTAAATACGATTTTTTGAAGTTATTATTTTAATCTCAATGATATTCCCTGTTGTGTCATGGTAAAAATAGGGGTCACTTGGAGGTATTAAATATAGGTTTTAAACAGAGTACCAATTAGGCGAGTGGGAGATCCAGCAAAAAGGCCTTATTTGTTGACCTTAATTAAGATAGCTTGCAACCGCATGAGTCATACCTGACTTTCATAATATGAATATGCAGATTTCAAAAATGACAATAATAAAAATTGAAAAATGGCCGATCACCATGGAAACGGGACGCAAAAGCCACGCCCACTTTTTCAATTTCTTACTTGGTGGTTAATACAATTTAGACTGCAACTTTCTCGATTTTTAACAAATCTTCACATTATTGGTATCTGCTGAAGCGTAATAATGAGTTCTTTCACCTCAAGCATAAATAATGTTAATTCGCTCATTTGCATATCAATTATGACGTCATAACCCTTCTTTTGGCCTCAATTTTCCATATAGTTACAACAAAGTAACAGTGTTTTATTAGTTACACTTCTTAAAAATTGATAAAAGTAGGTAAATATAGTGCCAATACAAGCAAGAGTATGTCAGCTTTTCGGATATACTGATATTGAAGGCTGCATGTTGGTAAGAATAACATAAAAACTCGTTGCCATGGTTACCGTGAACTTTTCAGTAATTTAGGCAATAAAAACGTCTTGGACTGTAACTTTCTTTGTTTTTAAGCAATCTTAGCATTATTGGTATCAGAAGAAGCGAAATAATAAGTTCTTTCACCGTAAGCATAAATTGTGTTAATTTGCTCATTTGCGTATCCATTATGACGTCATAGCCCTTCTTTTGGCCTCGATTTTCATATATTTACAATAAAATAACAGTGTTTTATTAGTTAAACTTCTTGAAAATGGATGAAAGTAGGTAAATGCAGTGCCAATACAAGCAAGAGTATGACGGCTTTTCGGATATACTGATATTGAAGCCTGCATGTTGGTTAGAATAACATAAAAACTCGTTGCCATGGTTACCGTGAACTTTTCAGTAATTTAGGCAATAAAAACGTCTTGGACTGTAACTTTTTTTGTTTTTAAGCAATCTTAGCATTATTGGTATCAGAAGAAGCGAAATAATAAGTTCTTTCACCGTAAGCATAAATTGTGTTAATTGGCTCATTTGCGTATCCATTATGACGTCATAGCCCTTCTTTTGGCCTCGATTTTCATATATTTACAATAAAATAACAGTGTTTTATTAGTTAAACTTCTTGAAATTGGATGAAAGTAGGTAAATGCAGTGCCAATACAAGCAAGAGTATGTCGGCTTTTCGGATATACTGATATTGAAGGCTGCATGTAGGTTAGAATAACATAAAAACTCGTTGCTATGGTTACCATGTACTTTTTAGGCGATGAATCCTATTTTGACTAACCTTCTTGGTTTTTAACCATCTTATATTAACGATATAAACGATGTGTATTATAATGCCATGATAGCAGAGTTAGATCTCCTTTGCCTGCTTTTGAGCTCTCAAAGCTCTTCATTTTATAACTCATCTGGTTCAGGAAAACACATCAGCACAGCGCCATAGTGGATCACAGCTACGCTAGCTCTGATGAAATCTGTTCTCAAAATTCCTTCTCTGTTAATGCTGTTAATGTCAGCAATCGCCATCTGCGTCAAGGTTATTCTCCCATCTCATGCCATCTCCATAAACAGGAGCCAGAGAAGCAACAGAACAATCAGCTTGAACAAGGACATTTCTCTCGCTAGGTTTCAACTATTCTCCTCACTGTTTGTGCCTTGCAAGAGTTTGTAACCATGCTTCTCATCAGATTAAGAAATTGTACAGGATGAATTGCTGAGTTACTGGATATAGAACTCTTACTCTCGGGGAGCTTTTCTCTCTTCTGACCTCTTTTGGGGCTTTAGGCAAACATAAGACATGTGCCCTTAGGCTGATCAATCAAAACATACCAATTGACAGTTCTACAAAACATGTACCTTCTCACAACAACTCCTACAATTAATGCCACAATGTGCACAGAGCTCTCTTCTTGAAACGTTTGACAGCCTCTTTTATATTCCTCTTCATCTCCGTCTTTATTTCTTCAACCATTTAAGGAGGTTTTCCCCCATGATCACTAGAAGAAAAGGAGATATGATGATCCCGTTGTATTAGCTTGAGTCCTTTCTGGATCAATTCAGATTCCTGATACGCTTCCTCCCTCTGGGCCACTTCCATGGCCTGATCAAGAGACTTTGGATCTCTTCTGTGTACTGCTGCTCATCATCATCAGTTATGGCATTCCCAGAGCTCTACCTCGCTAGTCTATCTTGTGAAGAGCAAGGCATCTCGAGATATGTTAAAGCCTCCACCAGGTCATCATAGGCATACCCCTCTTCCAGCTCCTGCACTAGCTGCTTAATATCTTTCATCAACTGGTTAGTAAGGCCTGCCTCTTCTCTTCATCATTTCTCTGCTTGCTCTCCATGCAATTTTTGAAGTATGCTTTGAAGTCTAACCACAGTGTGTTCCCATCAAACAATGGGGTTGGTTTAATCTTGGTTTTCCTTCCAAATTGTGCTGACTCCTAGAGCCATGTCATACATGCCCAGTGCTTTCTCAGCAAATTTAGCCTTTATAGCCTGTCCTTGATTGTCATCTGAGCGCTGTACTATTAATCTCGCATCTTTATAACATTTGACCTGAGTTCCCAAACCTTTAAGACATCATTTGGGATTCAGTTTAATTCAATTCTCTCTTACAGTGAGTCACAGAATCTCCTCTCATACCAGGAATGTCTGTTGAATATATAAGCACAAATGCCAAAAGGGAAGGGTGACTAAAAACTTTAAGGAAACTCGACAAGAAAAGCAAACTGTAAGTGTAAATCTGAAAAGTAGACCCGTATATTCCAAAACCATGATCTAACGTGAAAAGAAACAATGTCTCACATCCCCCTCCCCCCTCCAATCGAGAACCAATATCACAATCCAGGACCAGAACACCAAGGGACATTTCATTCATACTGAAGTCATTACAATACACGTTGAAGAAAAAATTGAAAAATTTATAGCCAATACTCATAACATTAAAATTAGTTGTAGATACCAGTACTCGTTAAGATAGAGTATTCAGTCTCAAATGATGAAGTTAGAGGAAGCTGCCTCACCGGTCTCAATGTATAGGTAGCAATCTGAAGCAATTTAATGAGGGTGTTGTGGGGACAATTGGGTCTATTTCAACAGAATATACTGGTCTTGTGTGCCACAAATTCTACGTAAGATGTCAAAGTTGTATATTTGCCCCTAAAATCCAGACATTGTCCTGACAACACCCTGATCGAAGTGCCTCAGATTGCTACCTCGTCATTTTTCTGGTAACTCAGACCTAGAAGAAGTCAGTACATATGGTCTTAGTGTGGATTCACCCAATCTGGATTCATTTCTTTTGGAAATACTTTGGTCTCTCCACTAGGAGTCGTCTTAGCTCTCTCATGCTGGCCCACTTTTAGTGTGTCATCCACTTTAAAACCAGGAGCATCTCACTTTTCTCTCCAGACAAGACTGCTCTTCTTGACTTCTTTCATTTGGAGGGGTTTCAAGCTGTTTCAATCACAACTTGTGAACCAATGTCACAATTTCACCATTTCTTCTGGAATCCTCTTCATCCAAGATTTCTGACTTAATCTCAAACTTCCTTGACATCTCATCTCTTTGGGCAAGAGAATCCATCACTGCCACCAATGTCTCGCTTTGCCTTTTCCCGAGTATCCCGTATGCTCATTAAAGAGAAAATCAGGGGCGATCAATAATAACTCTTAGAGGTTTTTCTATGAGTGCCGACC